TCTGTGAAGCCTGAAGCCAGCTAAAGAGCCGATGATAACTATCAAGATGCCTGCCAATTGATATAAAAAAATATTGCGGTATGATATATTGTAGAAGACAAGAGTTTGTTTACTGGGTATTAAATCTGGAGTAGAATGCTGACGTAACCTCATTGCAATGTCACTTACCAATCATAACTAAGGGCGTGGTCTTGGCAAGATTAAGTCAACCACCATCTCTTGGCAAGGACATGGAACTGTAATGATTGGAATAAGGCCAATCCCAATTTCTTGAGCAATAAATAAGCGCTTAAATTTTCAAATCCGGTCTACTCTGGAATAGGGGCTATAATGACTGATTTCGCAGTATACCCCTCCCACTCTCCCTCTTAGAGTTTGAGCAACTGTAGTACAACACATAACAGAGACTTGAATCGTAAATAATGTTATGAGACAATTTGGGCATAACATGAAGAGTAGTCAAATGGCTATGGTAATTCCATATAAATATCAAATCAACACAAGAAGCCTTTATTTTTTGTAAGTGTTAATTTAACACAAATAGACACTGCTATATTAGTCGTAATGATGACATGATTCTTCTCCTAAAACGTCAAAATGGCACTACAAATCCATTCAACACTGCACAAACAAACGAAAGCGAACTGAAGGCATGGCCCTATAGCTCACCCTTAAACAAAGAACGGACTACCACAAAACCCTTTGTTAATTTACTCCTACGAAGTAAAGCATGCCTAAGGCATAAAATAAAGATCGGAGCAAATTCTGACCAACTAACGAGCTTTAGGAAATGAGTAGGTAAACAGATAAAGAGAAAGCGAAGAAAGTTTGACTCATTCATATCCATGTAATCAAGTGATAATGAAATATCCCATATATTTGCTTAAAATATACTCAACCTGACTAAAGGCTCCAACTCGTTTTTAGTTCCCCAAGATCAAATAAAATTACCCTTTTAAGCCTCCCAAACAGAACAAAGCATGCTCCGCATCAAGCGGAGGAATCACTATCATACTGCGCGCACACACTCACCCAATTCGTCAAAACCGGTTCCAGTTGATTATACACCTCCTGAGCTAAATTTGCCGGAATCGTATCAGATGTACACGCCTCATTCAAGACCCGTTTAGTGAGCTCCTTCAGCACTCTATGCACAAAGTACCTCTTTGTATTTTTGGGGGATGCGGATTTCCCAGCCGCTTTCTTGGCTTTCGCTTCAGCTGACCTCAAAATCGACATTGCCGTATGCAGTAGTTCTTTCTCAGTGGGTATACTATTAAAACAAACAAAGAATGGGTTAGAAATTTACAAAATCAACACAAAAAAAAACAAATAGACGACAAAATTTACCTAGTAGAAGTACGAGATTTCTTTTTAAGTGGTGGATGAATCTCATCGTAGGTATCTAAGTTAACATTTGGGAAAGCTGCCACTAGGGCTTCTATTGCCATAGAGGTGATGGGAGGTTCCGGAGGTTTGGTAGGTGACAAGGAGAGACGCAATTTGATGGGTGACTTGGGAGCAGATTGAGGTTGAGTGAGTGAAGTGGGATTCTCGTCGACAACAGTTAGATTGCCATCATCCTGGCGGCTCAACCGAAGACGGAGACTTCGAGGTTGGAAAGTGCCCTCTTGCCCATCAACCTCCATTTTCTCTTCGGTAACTCCATGCCGTTGCTGTTGTTCCTCAACCTTTGGTTCAGACACCACCTCTGGCTCTTGCAGAGCATGTTTCCTTACTGAATGCTCCTTCTTCCGTTTAGCAATTTTCATTTCCCCATCTTCTCCCTTTTTCTTGTCCTTTATAGAAGAAGAAGGTACTTCCTGCTTCTTAGACACTTCTTCTTCGGTTTTCAAAGCTGGCATTTCAGCTGGTTTACGTTTAACTCGGCTATCTTCTGCCTTCTTTTGTTTCTGTGAAGATTGTGAATGTCTCCTAGATGATCTCTTTATCTTAACAGCCAAATCTGCAAGTGGAGTAGTTTCTTCCTCTTCGGTTAGATGTGATGGAGATAAAACGGTCGATTCTTCACCTGGGGGAGGTGAGCTGAAGATTTAAGGGAAATAACGTAAAGTTAAATAGTAAAATCAACACCTAACAAAGTTCTTTAGAGAAAATTAGTTGATTCAACAAAGTATGTCTGCTTTTGTGATAAAACAGATAAGACAGCCAATTAAATGGAATTTTAGGGGATACTAGGAGAGCGCTACTTCAACTTACAGTATTTGAATGGCTGGATCCTCCTCAATCTTCGTGATATTCCTGACTCTACGCTGACGTTTCCGCTCTGCTGAGATGAAAGACTCGGGCATGATAGGCCATTCTTCTTTGTTAGTGATAAGCATGCCTTCAGTTGCAGAGTCGCGAGAGGGACTAACAAATACTGTGTCAGTAATGGTGAAACATACAACTACTTCTATCGATATAATATAAAGGAAAGAAGTAAAGACTGAGATGACGACTATAACATCAACATACAGTTTAATCTAGATAAACGAAAATAAAGACTAGTCCTGATTTAAAAATCCAGCCAAAACATTCGTCCAGAGATGAAGCTTATTGGTGGGGGGGGGG